AGATCCGTCCAAATCCGTCACATTTTTCTGACCGCTATCAGTAAACTAGTGTTTCTTCATTCCAGTCCGACAATATCGTAACCATACGAAGGTTACCGAAGCTGTTCCGTATATCTAGAATTAACTTAACCTCGACAAATGCTGCCATATAGCCCATATCGAACTAATATTTACAAGTTATCCTCGAATAAATGAGAGGTGTTTATTCAATTTAGACCGAGATGTGTGCTGATTTTCTTCTGTTTGGTTTTATAAACTTGCGATTAATTTAAATTAACTCGGAGTCGGATTGATAATGTTAAGGTACCACTGCGCAGATCATTGTTATAAGACAAGTTTCGCTAATCTTATATATCTATGTGATGAAACACGTGTCATCGTGATTCCAATGTAATCAAACGGATTTATGCCAACATATTGATTTATTGATTTCATTTTCCTTAAAATCGATTAGTTGTATAAAGCATTTGTACCTGGACATGGCAGTGCAGCCTTGAATAGACATGTTATGAAACCATTTTACCGTTAATTTAAATTTAAACAAATTTGATTTTAATTTAAACATCCCTATTGTCTAACTTAGAACAAGGGATGAGGCACAAATTATTATAACTTATCCACGTCTTCTCCCAATAAACATTTACACATAAAAAAACAGATACTAAACTGAAAACATACATATATCTAAAAAAATATTTATAACTATTACAATCCAAATATGTTACTGGATTTTATTAAGGTTTAGATCTTTGTAAAATTTCTAAATCGTTTTAAATTATTTCTGCTGAGTTAAGAATTAATTGTACTGTGTATGTTGATATTTCATTTACATTATAATATCAGATATTTTATTCCTCATGAATTGTCATTATTAAAAATACAATTCGTTTGTATATGATATAGCCCCTATACACGATCTCTGTTTCCATAACGATTTGTTTAATATTCTGATATTGTTACATTACTGAGTGAAATATGAAACAGTACATAGGGTAGTGTGTTAGAACATAATATTACGGAGTTTATCAGCCTGTAAATAAATCTCTCATATCTAATTTCCTTACAAACAATGCTCTCAGATTCGCCCAATCGTAACATAATAGCCGGCTTTATTTTACAGCTAATCCAACACAAGGTTAATTCGTTACTATCGGTCATCAATTACTTCTGGTCAGCATAATGTTACGTCACAACGGTCAGTCGTGTTATGTATGGTACTGTAACAGTACGGCACTGACTATCACGTATAATTCGAACCACGTTCTGGAATCGATGGTCAACGCTGTCGCTTTTCATCTCTATTCGGGCGTGGTTATTTATAGCCTTTTGATGAGGTCAATACACGGATTTCTTAACCTAAGAAAAATATCGTCTCTGTTAATATATGTATTACCTATTTCCCATTGTAGGTAAGTTCAGGTGGTGGATGGAGGACTGCTTGGATAGGAGGGACGGATTTGGGAGGGATAAATTAGTGTCCCAGGGCCAAATATTGACATTGCAGATTTTACGATCAGCGGGGTGTATATTGGCTACATCCGTTAACAGTGCTGTTAAAATTATGTGAGATAGAAATGGTCTCCTCTCCGTACTGTTAATATAATACGTAATATTTTAATCACGCACGTGCATTCGTACATACATTTAAACATTCTAATCTAATTATTAAAAGAGTTCTAGTGAAGTATTAGTCTCGATCTGGCGCGTGGTAGCGTTGCTAAGTAACGAGCCACGTGGCAAGTTTTCCGCATTTCTAGTTAATTAGTTGAAATTAACTAAGTATTGGGTTTAAAACAAACATACCTCCTATTTTAATTAACACAGTTTGACGTCAAGAACCAGAAAATTAGTTATTTTTCTTTTTTTAATAGGATGAAAACTTTCAATTTAAAATTAAGCAACTGTTTTCTGATCACCTTGCGCATATGTTTGCGGTGAACATTTTATGCTTCGTTAAAACTTTTGCTAATATAATGTAAACACATTTATTGTTGTTGTTGTTTTTATTGATGGGAATCTATTCGCCTTCTGCTTTTTAGGTTTTGTGTTTTGTTTTTGTTTGTTTGTTTGTTGTTTTTCTTTGTTTTTGAATTACAATGATACTGGTGTTGCTCTTTTTATTTTAACTACGAAGCCGGATAATTATGAGCTCCAATATATTTATTTACAAGATATAGAATCATGTTCAAAGCCTTTCGTACACAGTAGTAATCGATAAATCAAATCGATTTTGAGACCATAAAATATGTAGGGGTGGCATTGCACTTTCAAACAGGCAATGACAGAATTCTTTATAAGGAAATTATCTGCATAAAAAATATTTCTTTATTTCACTATTTCGGCTGAAGTTTCCATACTATTCCATTCTCTTTGATTTAACTTCTACATAAAAACTTGTCGCTATCGATCCAATAACACAGAAAAGGCCTTAGCAGAGCGACAGGTGCTTTGTTGTTTCTTGTTATCGAAGATACGATTTCGGTATTAGATGTTTAAACATTTCCTACAGATTTGTTGAAAACATACACTTTGTCATATTGAGTTACGTAAAAACGCATTTTTGGATCAGAACAATTCTTTATTTGAATTAAGTCAAGCAAATGACTGTTACGTATTGAAACGGAACTGAAGCATATCAAACATTTCGTTTTCCTAAAATAAATCGGCACAATAATTAAGGATGTTCTCTAACTCATTAATGTCATTAATCATTTGTATTTAATTAACACTTTCGAAATATCAAAGTTATTAATATCATTATTTATTTAAAACACCTGGAAATACACAAGCTATAATGCTTTGATTTTTTTTTCTGAATACACTTATTCGTATGTTGCCATGTCAGAGACAGGAAGAGACGTGGTCCTGACAATAACAACACTAACACCTTGTATATACATATGCTGGCGAAATCATTTTGAGATAACGTACCTTTCTGAAGGATCTACCTCTTTCAAAACAGACTTTCAAAAAGCCAATCTTGTCAATTATTTATATGTTTTTCGTTTTATTTTGTCGAGGATTTTAATTAGAAAATCTACCTCATTATAACAGAACACAGGATAGATAATTAAAATTCTAATTAAGATAATAAAGGGATATGATTTGAAAATTAATGAGAATATTAGACAAACAACGCGATCAGAGAGAAAAAAATACATTTGTATGGTATACAGATTTAGTCAGCTTATTATGAATTAACACAAGTGTACGGTCAAGAAAGAGATTTAATCAATTTTATTTCGCCATGAGTCGCTAAGTACAATATATCTTTGTTTTAATATCAATGTGTATTTACTGTGTGTATTTATCTAAGTGAAACGCTAACATGAAAAATCGACAAATACAGGTAAAAACCAATATTGATAAAATATGATATAACTCGGCTATGTCCGATGTTTGTAGTCCATATAAAGATACACCTAAAATGATATTTAAATAGGAAGTATTAAAAAAGTACTAAAGGGAGATAATTCAGGACGGAACTAAGGGAGACAATATTAGTCAGCTGTATAAATTGTACCAAATATAGAATTTATCATTTCAAAACTAATTATGCATGGTGTTCCAGGGTTTGTATATTAAACATTAGTATGTATATAGAATATGTTATTATAAACTTTAAAATATCATGACATTTTTTGGTCTGCCGCAGTGAATCAAATAGGAAAAAGGCCTGTTTATTTGATTATATATTAGATGAATAGATTTATTATTTTAATATTTAAATATTTTTATATCTCTCTATAAATGATGAATACAGATAAAGATATTTGTAAGAAATACAAAACAACAAAGTCATTTGACAATACTAAATAAAGCCGGTTCTTTATATAGGTAAAAAATAATGTATTTTCGGTGTGAGTGATATTTCACGAAAATATCTATTTTGCAATATTCACAAATGAAGTACATGCGATTTATCTCGACAGGAATGTTTCATATTAGTGACAAACAATATCTGAGTTATGGAAAAATTCAGAATAAACCCTTTTACAAGAATTTGGAAACAAGTTTTTCAACTTATATGAATCACTCTTGTTGGCCCGGATGGATGCACGCGAGGGGTTTTGCAGTGGGAGGAAACCGGAGTACCTGGGGTAAACCTATGAAGTCGGACAGGTGATCCCATACCTTCCCACGCCCATTCCCAGAATCGAACCCAGGACGGCTTGGCGAAAGGCGGGTGCGTTACCTCTGCGCCACTTGACCAGAAAAAGACAGACTATAGAGTTTCCCGTGTAGTTTACATATATACTGTATTGTCTTCGTTAGGAATGTAGCTTATCCTTACTTTTACGAAACCTCGTACGAAAAAGGAAACTGAATCACAATACTAATATGAATGCATCGCCTCTGTATTAGATTTCAACAAATCGGAATTTATTATGCAATTTTTTAAGTTTGTTTTGTTTGATTTGTTTCGTTTCAATACAAAGATGTTCCCAACATTATCGCTGAATGTCCTGATCAACAGAAGAAAGCTATGAAATTAAATCCTGTGTTTTTCCACAAATTTTATTAGTTAATAAAAAAATCCTTTTTCAATATATGGAGACTCGTGTAAACAGAATAGTAAAATTTACAAAAATCCCTGTTCTGGGTTAGGGCGATGGGTTGCTAGAAGTTCATGTTAACATAAAGGGGTGGTGGACCAACTGACAATCAACTAGCGCGTGCTCCAATCGCCGGCTGAGAGGGGCGGGACTTGAGATTAAGCAACCCGCCGAGCAAACAACTTAGTCTGAAAACATTCCAGCACAGTTCACAGTTAGTGAATGTAACTGGCGACAGATCGATCGTATATTTATTATACAGGTAGTAACGAGAGGTTAGTCTAAGTTTAATATCTAATAAGTTTATATACAAATCCCTGGACTAAATGTAGGACGATATCTGTGCTTAAATCCATGTAACATTCAAATTATCTTTATTCCAAAGGTGACAAAGTAATAACGTGAGACTGCTGTTGACATTTGTCGCCTCATGTCTGCTCAGTGATGATCGGCACATTTGTGGAGCGCAGCGATCCCCAGCATCTGGCCTCCCCGGGGGTAGGATACGGGCACCCCGAGGGTACCGCCATGGTGCAAAACCAGCAGTATGGTTATTACAACGGTCAGGCGAGTGGGTATGGTGTTTCCTATAGCAATGTTGGAAATCTTAACTCCCGGGAATTATTTCTACGCCGAACGGCAGAGTTTGGACTTTCTGGAAGTGATGTTTCAAGTAATGTAAGTTCCCGTCCAGGGATGCTGTTTCCTCCGCCATCCAGCGGTTTTCATTCACAACATCATCAAGAAGTGAGTCCACATGTCCTTCTCCAGGGACTACATGACGTCACATCATATCATAACCCGAGACAGCACATGCATGGTCAGCCTGGCTACTACATGTCGGGACATAGCCCAGAATACATCTCCAGAAATGATCAAATGGGACTCAACCCGGCCACAAGACCGGAACAGTATGGTCATGAGAATCAACCCTTTATGAACCCTATAAATATGTTGCAAAACGGGACTGGGCCCTTTTTTAGATACATGCGTCCCCCTATAAAACAGGAACGCACGTGCATGTGGGTTGATTCTGACCAGCCAGAACCTAAAAAGCCGTGTAATAAAGTATTTTTTACAATGCACGAGATCGTAAATCACATAACGATTGACCACGTCGGGGGGCCGGAGCAAGCCAACCATACCTGTTTTTGGCAAGAGTGTCCGAGGGAGGGAAAGCCCTTCAAGGCCAAGTACAAACTTGTAAACCATATCCGAGTCCATACAGGAGAGAAACCATTTCCGTGTCCATTCCCGGGATGTGGTAAAGTGTTTGCCCGCAGTGAGAACCTCAAGATTCACAAGAGAATACATACGGGTAGGTTTAACATGTGATATGTGTGTATGTTTTGGAGCGACTCCTCCACGTTGAGAAGGGTTGTAAAATAATGCTACCGCTTAGAGTAAAAAAAATAAAACATTAATACGTATCAAGTTAATTTTAAAATCGTGCTTTTTATCTTATTTATCTATGTTATTATTTATCTATAAATTTATTTATAAGTACCCAATGGTTTTGTACAATTGTCATTGGTGGTTATCGTGATTTAGAAACACTGTAAATGTTCGGATTAAGGTGACTGTATAGCGAATAACAGTTCATTGTAAATATCGCTCACTTTTTTAACAACATATTCAGCTTTGCAAATGAAAGGAAATCACTTTAGTCATTTATACTTAAAAGTTTACATAATTTTAAATGAGTTGATAATGTGATTTGAATAAATTTTAATCATCAATGACGACTTAAATTGACAACTTCAGCTATGTAATATCATTAGAGACTCCCGACATCAGAAACAGAAAAATAAATTATGATATTCTTAACCCAAAAATGAAAAAACTGATTGATAATTAAAACATTTGCTGATACAATTTGTCGTGTACTTAACTCCGAGGATGCCTAGCTTTAACAATCTGCCTAGGACCGAATGCTACTTGTGGTAATATAACTACACGGTACTAATTAGTATGCCTAGGTGTTAATGTCAAGTGTTTTTCGTTACGTATCTAGTATTATACTTACCTCATTTCAAGAGGTCTACTTAGAATGAAGACGATACCAGAACCTGTAAATATTATCAAGATTCCTATTACAACATCCAGTGAATAATTCTAAAATCGCAATCAAATTAGGAATAAATAAGTATATATCAAATAGTTTTACATCTGAAGACTTTATTAATAATCTGGCTGACCCACAGTATCACTTTTAAAATACGACCATATCCTAGGTATCTGGTGTTTTAAAAGTTTTTAAAAGAGGATAAGTGTAATAAAATGATAACTCCCTGAAACAAGACTACTCGACGTATATCAAGGTTATGATGGGATATTTTTGTAACGATATTTGGAAATACGGAAAAAGTGATTTTTAAAAAAAAAAAAAAAAATCTTAGTGTAAAGGTAATTGATATGAAAATTAATATCGAATGGTTTTGGCATTAATGGGATATTATTTACCAACAGTTTGTTCAATGTTAAACAATTAAATTCTTTTTAGGTTTAGAAATGTACCACACAATGTGTTAAAAAGCCATTCGCAACTGTAAGTTTTATTTACGTTTGTGTTGAAACAATAAACCAGCTCTGTGAATGTTAGGTTCAATTCAAGTCCTGTAGGGTTTTATTTGTTGGTAAAACTGTGATGAAGAATTCACATCAGCTGTTTTAAAAGTCTTTAAGTGCGAAACCACAACTTAAAATGTGTTCCCCATATGATATCGACATTTGTCATGTTACTATATACCCCTGTAGCTCCTCCGTATCATCACAACCGTGTCCCACCAAAGAGCTAAACGTCATCAAGCATCCATTATAAATATTTACAAATTCCCACCGGCCTCACGTTGTCTTATTCCCTACATATTTCAAAGCTATACGGGCACTTGTCTTCTATGATGGAGCAGTATACTAGTTTACAATATACGTACATATATATTGCATCGGTGGGGTGAAGTCAAAACTCTCATAGGCAGATGGTATTTTAACCAAAGTATCGTCGGGACTCCCCGTGAGAAATTGGCTGTGTGTATTTTCCCTCTGGTCTTGCAACCGTCATTATATCTTCCCGATATATATTGAAAACATATCACTACCCGGTGCAGATACTAAGAAAAAAACTCCTCCACGCCCATGTTAAGTCTTCTATTGTAGATGGCAAAACATATATAAAAAAAACTTGATGATTATTTCGACAGAAATGCCCTCAACTTTGATCTAGGTTGCAACCGATTTCCTCGGTCACATTTTCACCATTTTTCTGCTTTTTAAGCTATGCTTAGAACAGGGAAACGGAAAATAGGCCTGGCGCTTTTGATGTTATACTATAATTATTGCTCCGTGTACCAACGTGCAATGCCTTTCCCATCAACTTCAGACCTGTCTTAAACTCGGTTCACATCAAAGGAAAAATAATTAATGACTGTATAATTGAGAGACGAGTATTTTATATTAAATATGAAATTCGTTTTCGTACTTCAGCAGTTGAAGCAGTGAAAGTATTTCATGGAAGGTGGGCTTAATTTTATGTGAATGTTCCCTAGAATGTATTACGTGTTATACATGTGTGTGTGAAGGCTGAATAGTTAGGGTCGTGTCTTCAAATTAAGTAAGCAAAGCTAACTACACTGATTATCGCCATCACGGATTCAATTTGTGTGTCTTTAATATGTTTACTAAGTTTAGACTACAGAGTGATATTGTTGTTAGACTGAAGCATAATGAAAACAATATGTAACTAATAACAGTTAGACAGTTATTTAACTGATAATTGGCTTTAATTTATGAGGTGTGAAAAAATATAAAGTACCCGTGACAGGTCAACCTCTTCTAAAGTTTTAAATCTTGTATTTTTTTGTCATTTATAAAAAATAATTTCCTGATAGAAAATCACAATTTTTTTAATGCAGTAAGAACCTTGAAGTGTAATAAAAAATAATATTCTTATAAAAACATTTGTTTTCGAAATTCAAAAGGGCGCGAAGTAGATACAATGTTTTTTTATTGTATTAAAATCTTTGTATCAGCGGATGGTTATTGATTAACTGGAGAGAGAGCGGTTGTTTGAATATGATTCTGTGTTTGTATGCAGATTGTCAAACTTAAGTAATGACAGTTGTTATTTCTGGGGCTATGGGTAATGTTTCCGTCAAACATTGTTAAGTTTGAATCGGTCATATTTACCATGAGTACGCAAGATATACTGGGGGAAAGATAAATAAATGATATAAAAAATTAATATAAAAAATAAATGATATAAAAAATTAATATAAAAAATAAATAATATCAGAAATAAATGCTTATATTAAAAATGTATCGCGATTGTTTCAGACGCCTCGAGATAAAAGTACAAACTGTTGATTTTATGAGTAATGTTTAAACCTGGAGACTTTTAAATCTGATTTGATTTCTACCTTACTAACATTTGTAAAATATACTGCTGAAATGTAGTGTGTGAATGAAGGTCTCTAATCACTGTCAGAATGTGATAATATAAATATTTTGTTTTAAAAGATCGTGTATGACTTTAGCTGGATGGATTTAGGAGTGTACATATGATATGAGGATTTCCTTTTAAGAAGATTTTTGTACTGTCTATACTACTTTTATATTAGATATTATGAATTAAATGTCACAGGCCCAGTCTGATAAGATTTCATATGTACCCCTCATCTTTTTTTTTTTTGGTTGATAAAAATCAATATATTTAAACATAACTTGAATGGATTACATACAATTCATATCTTATACATGTCCCTGGATTTCATAAAATGGTAACATTAGCACTTAAGGAAAACCTGTTTCATTTGATGATCTGTTGCAAAATTGCAAGATTAAAACACCAATTATTAAAGAAATATTCTTGACACACGTATGGTAATTTCAAATCTACAACAATACAGAATCGACAGTACTGCAATGATACAGAGAAATATGTCATCAACATCATGTTTGTTTTTGTATATCTCGGAATTCCAATTTTAGATATTTTTGACAGAAGAAATGAGATACAATAAGGAAATTATATGTAAACAGTTTTATATGCCCTGCTTTGTTGTGCTCAGAAATATTAGAACTGAAGTTTGGAATCCCTAGAAAATATTACAGAAAACTGAGCCCAAAAGATATATAATGGTGACAGTAAAAATATGGAAGGAAAGCGTTTTCAGATAATTCCAGGTTTAAATAACAAATTTAAAACGTTGTATAATTTTAATTAATGATCGATTGTCTGAGTCCGGACATTTCAAAATGGCTTGCTGAAATCAATGACCATTATTTAAAGACCTTTTCACAGAGCCTTCTGTATCAAATTAAGCAAAGAAATTATCTCTTATACAGAGATGTTAGCATCTCAAAACGCAAATATATACATCTAATATCATTTTATATTAAGGCATATGTTAATAGGTGATGTGGAAACTTCTGTGAAATGCAAATTCGCTATTGATAGGAATGACAGAAATATGTGCATATATAAAGTTGCATTACGCATTTAAGAAATATTAATCTACTATCCCTGTTCCATTGATAAGTTAATTAATTAATGCACTAAAGTGTTGTCCTGAATGTACATTTTCACTCGGAAAATTAAAGAATTTAAAAAACAATCATATAAACCACTCTAAAATATTTACCATGTACATTTGTGCTATTTCAAGTGTCATGGACATTTGTCTCCTCTACAGTAAAGAGTTCCCATCAAATTTCTAGTACTGGTCAAGGTTACTGTAGTGTTTACGTTGACCAGTATAACCTAACATCATTTTGTAGATAAACATTACAGATTCGTCAGAATGTTCTGGATTAAAAATGAAAACTGAGACGGGTATTTCGTTGAGAAATATAATAAGAAAGATTGAATTTCTGTTATAATTATCAGGGTCGGACTAGCAATTTAGCTAGTAGTCGCTTGTGTAATGAAGAATAATGGGTTCGGTGTGTTCTACTGTGTAATGAAAATATCAGATATCAGCGGACGAAATCGCACCATTATGCTATTCAATTAGTGTTATGTAAAATCCTGCATTGTGTTGATAATTGACAGAAATTCTAGCTGTATTACTATAAAGCTTTGTACTGTATGCGAAATAGCATATTTGTTCTTGAATTTCGTTCAACATATATCGTATATTTACTAAAGAATGTATGTACTACTTTAAATAATATTTGCGAATTCAGATTAGAATATTTGAATAAGAAATATTCTTAATAACTTTGTGCCATACTGAAAAATATCAGTATGAAGCGGACTGTACAAGTAAAAATTGACTAGAATTTCTCAATCTAACCTTGTAATATGGTTCAGTATCTATTTAAAAAGTTTTTTTCTACCACTGAGTTTTAAGTTTACGTGATGCTAGAAAAAAAAACTGCTTTCGTAAAAAGAAAAATTATTCCTATTGTATTTTTAAGCTCCTACAGTCTTCCTAACCAAACAAAATTACGCAATATTTTACAAATAAAGTCCTTGTGGCCATTTCTACCGTAGTGAGAAACCTATTGCCCACATTTGGGAACCATTTATTCCTAAATTTATCACCGGAAAATTCCGTGATTTAAAGGGTAGTACATATTGATTACCTTACCACGAGGTGGTGACGGCAGTTCCAACTTTGCTTACGAGAACCTAACGATAAGTGATGTTCATTTCGTCTATCGTTGATCAATTACACGTTCCTATCGCGCCGCCCTAATTATCAGACGAAATAATCCCTTGGAGATTCTAAACAACTGGATTATTGGATGATGGAGATCCTGATGGGAAAATCATAGAGCTGATATTGTATAACGCTTGACGGGTCCGTCTGGAGAACAGGTTGTTTTAGAGGAGCAGAAGCAACCCGCCCAGCCGGTATTACGTGTAGCAAGAGGGAGGGGGTCGAAAGCAGATCGCGAAATAGATATCCCACAGAGAGTATTTCAACCATAGTTAACTATACCACACCTTTTACAGGGTCCGGACATTTGGTATCATTCATATTTCTCATCAGTAAGAGAAGACACCAGGATTTTAATTTCTGAATTATTTTATTTTCTGTAATGAAACACGAATTAAGACCGCGTCATTTAAGTCAAAATGTGATCTTGGACTTAATGTTAGATTTTGTACGGTAATTATCCATTAACAATCAATTTTGACTACATCATCACTTAGTATTGTGCAAGATGCCCGAGATGAAATCACATTGACCATAAAGCAAAATTCGTTGATAAATGAAGGAATGTACAGGTGTATAATCTATATAAAGTATTAAAAATTGTCAAAATCTGCATGATGAAATTTTTTAAAAATATCCTGTGGAATTTGTATAATTTGTTCGAATTCTTAAAATCAGTTTTGATATATCTCTTTATTCAAATTCAAAACAAAATAATGAAACATTTATGACAGTTATCGGCGAAAACCGTATTTCTATCTAAAATTCATTGAAACTGAAAGTGGGCGGAACTAGTTGTCATTGTACAGATATGTAAAAATAATGGAGTGATGTTTTTACAGTGGTATCTGCAGAAGATCACGTCCCTGACATTTTTACTCTCGTAACTGTGATTCAGAACGGTGACGTACGTGAAATATGGGGGCATTTTCGGATAGATCATGGAGCCGTCCTTTCCTTGTCATTCGCTGGGTTTATATTTTCTGTCTGTGAATATTACTTTTTCTTTCTGTCTGTTTCATACACGTGGGGCCATATAATATTCTCTTGTAACCTAGTCATTCACCGCCTGATTTTCGTAATAAGGGAAAGAGGTTTCTCGCTATCAATCGATCATTGCATAATATATATATAAACACACAAACATGAAACCATCAATCAATTGTATTGTTGCATCGAAATACGGGTCGATAGCAAATATTATAAAACGAAACCAATAGTTTAGCATGTTTCAAATAATGGAATTTACAATTATGATTAATTTAAACGAAAGGTCAATATTGTTAATTGATCCATCACCATTGACTGTTTAACAATTAATACTCAAAAATATTTTTATGTAAAATAAAACATGTTCAACCTGGCGAAAAAAATCTACATTTCACCTGTTATACATAAAGTTGCTACTTAAATACAAAACAGAGAAGCTAGTCTTCTTTATACAACAAAGAATGACATTTTTCTTTTTCAATGTCGAGAAACGTATTTGTCATGTGTCCTTTCAGCCTCGCAGCACTAAGTCGATACGACTATTATGTTCCTGTGAATAACACCGGCTTGTCTTGAATACGGGTCGAACAAGTCCTTCTAGGAGATCAATTGGTCTTAAGTAGACCGCTTTCCTGTGCTAGATGTGCCCAAAAGAATAGGCCCTATTATTCCGGCATTCCATAGTTTGTGATGTCAGTTACAAGGCCATGTGCTCATGTACACACGTGTGGAATATTTATATAAAATGTTACCCACGTAGACCAATGAAGGAAGGCCAACTTTGTTTTCTAATTTATATTATCTTTTTATTTAAATTATAGCAATGCAGAATTTTTTTAGTGTTCTGTTATTTTCCTTTACCAAACCCACTGTACAGTAATATACCCTACAATGAAATCGCGAAAATAATTGAACATCATCGTTGAGTTTGATGGGAATTCCTAAACGGAATATTGACATACCCATGCAAATTAATCAACTATACCCCAATCTTGGCTCACTTGTTTCATATATTTCATTTCTGAATTAATTGATCACAGACTTTATGTGTAGACTGTTACAACAACCCAGCCAAATATTGCATTATGGTTAAGGTATATGAATGAATTATTGTCTTAATTACAAGAAAGTTATCGGGTAATCTATTACGTCGAATCAACAGATTTGTTACTCGACTTTTATTTGTTATGGAGCAGGAGCTTAAATATCAGTTTCTTAAATTTCCGTTTTTGCAAAGTAACATTCCTGCTTTACCTAACCTCTATTATTTACATTTTGTACATGATATTTGAGGCATTATCTTCAGTGTCACAATTTGACTGTCAACATTTGACAGGAAAACTTCCGATAACGGTTTCAGCTTTGTGTTGGCGTTCCATTATCGTCCTTATAATTCACTAAATATAACTCCTTGCACAACGTCTTGAAGAGTGTCGGTAGTTTTGGTGTATATGACAGCTTTTGCACTGACCTAGATTTGTCATATGGGATTTGTCGTTAAAGCAGAAAACGCTTTCACTTATGGAACATGCATTTATAAATTGTCATGGTATTGTCGGTTTTCAGTAAGAATATCACTTTATATATGTTTTCCTTGATCTTTTTTAGGAGTATCCGTGCAAACCTTTCTTTTGTTCATATTTGCATTATGTTAAAGGAATTTGAGTTTGGATTATCTTGATGTTGGTATTTTCTTGAAAGTTTTTATATTAACTAGTTGCTAAAGGGTGTTGCTTCCTTATATTTTGCAGGAGAGAAGCCTTTTAAATGTGATTTTGATGGTTGTGACCGGAGATTTGCGAACAGTTCCGACAGAAAAAAACACAGCCATGTGCACACGAGTGACAAGCCATACAACTGCCGAGTAAGGGGATGTGACAAAAGTTATACTCACCCTAGCTCTCTACGTAAGCACATGAAAATCCACGGGGACATCTCCCCTGATATGGAGAAATCTGACTCTGAAGATCACTCGGAGAGCAGTGAATCAATGTCTAGGACAACTCCCTCAAATGACGTCACGATGCATTCGCACCAATCACCGCCCTCAACAGAAAGTGTATCTGACACGAAACCTATTTTGACGTCACCTTCTGTGACGTCTCACATGGATCAGAATAATGGAATTCCTGTACCGGAAGTGCCTAAATTAAATGACTGGTTTGTTTGTCACCCACGAACAATGACTTCTGCCCCTTCTAAAGAACATGCGTCATTCCCTTCTATAGCACCTTTGTCATCATTTCACCCGATGCCCATCATGCAATATTCGTAACAGAACAGGAAAATGACACCATAAGTTTCAATGTGCGCCTGTCACCGAGATCTGAAGAAAATGTGTCGTTAATTGTTTCAAAATTGTGGATAGTCCTCACTGTGGAGTTTGTTAGGTCTACTTTGTGTATTAAGTGAAAATTTCGTATCTAAATATGTTATATATATATATATATATATATAAATTCAGATATAAGAAAACAACATTAAAATATCAATGTTTTCAACATAATATATGAGTTTGATTCTTTTCTTGTTAAACACTTTTACACGATTTTCTGATGTAAGACAGCTTTGAAAAATTATGGGATACACTAATTAATGTAAAATTCATTTTCAAATTTTTTTCACCAAAAACATAATAATTTCAATGATGCAATATCAATATTTACTTGAAAATAAAATCGCTTTTTGTCATTTATTTTCTTACTTAACATCTTTGTATAGACGAGAGCGATAATGGATTCGAAAGCCAATACTATTGATCGTAATGTCACTGAGTCGCGACAATAGGAGACTTAAATACAAAGAGGTAAGAACGCCTTGCACACTTTATTAATTATTTATTTGCCTCGTGCTGCTTTTACGCTATTTTTTTATTTCGTCTCGGTATTGACAGATGTTCTATTTTGTATATCAAACTTTAATTCTGATTACATAGGGTAAAGGACAAGAAGAAAATAAAATTATTTATTTAAGTTGTGAACACGTGACACAATAGGTTGCTTAAGAAAAAGGATATGGGGAATTTTGCTTTTACCTTGCAAAATATGTGAATATGTATTCAGCACAAAGTTCTAAACAACGAGCGTTCGCCGTTTAGTCGGTACCATTTTCATCATAGGTAACACAAACACAATCTACTGGCCTGCTTACCTTCTAAACCACCAGTAAACCTTAGTACATGTACCTGCTAAACTAGCCGTTAACCTCACCACCTGTCAACCTAATTACATTCTAAGTTGACATAGGTAAACCTGATTAATTACTTACCTAACTACTGACTAACTTAATAGCCAACAAAGTTAATGACCCACAAACCAGATCTGTTCTTTCCTAATTATAATATGATGACTATTTATTTCGTTTTGTTTCAAGTTTCAATTTTATTGGATCCTCAGATACATAAAAATGTATAACATGAGGTAAAACAATACTATATCAATAGATACGTGACAAAATGGATGGTAACTGAAAGTCGTAACGCTTCACTGTATTTTGTTAGGACTATTCAAAGTACACAGTACTTTCATAGATCAGACTGATAACAACTAGAACAATACGATTTACTTATATAAATAAAAATGGTAGCATAACATCACGCTATATAAGGATACCATAGTGTTACTTCAAAATATTTTGTTAAGACTTTAAAATAAACAGAATGCATTTAGTACTTTCAATTTTCATATTGATTGCAATTAGTACATTCAAATACACTTTAATATAACACCACATTTTATAATGATGACACAGTATTGCTTCACAATATTTTGTTACAGCTGTTCAAGATAACCAAAGGGCATTATGTACTTTTGTATATCAAATTGGTTTCATTAAACCACATTATTTAAGGATAACATAGTATTTTGTTTAGACTTTGAAATAAAATGGGGTATTAAGTATTTATATCAAATTGATAGCAATTTGCACATTATATACACTTTGCTATTATAACACCACGCTGTTTAAAATAAACAGAGGGCATTGTATTCAGAATCGAGGAACCCTATTGGATGGTTTACAAACTTTCAATTTTGTATATATTACTGGTATCAGAAGACAAATTAGTTTATTTCAGCCTCGAACTGATCTCCATCAACTTGCAATTCGTGAATATATTCTCTTGAATGTCACGCTTGAATATATATATAGTTATGAATAGTTTTTGTTTTCGGAAGTAATTCTAACGTTATTATCCCAATTAACAAATAGTACATTTGAAAAAAAAATGTTTGATAGGCTGTACATCAAGAAGACAATACGGCGATGTTAACATAATCATACTTCAAACTCACATGCGAAGAAACGAGGTTAAATATGGACAAAGAAGAACGTGCATGGAAAGTACGGTGAGATTAAGACCGTGTGTTACAGAAGAGTAAGCGCCATCTGTGTCATTGACGATACCCGTCACGTTAATATTGTTTAATCCAAGATAGAAAGGCCAGATTCTGAACGGAAAATCAAGTTGTAGCAATCCTTAAATGGATAAAAGAACAAGGTTTTTCTTTTATTTGTTTCATGTAATTCAAAACACGTGTTTTTTTTTAATGGATCAATGTTGTGTTAGTTCATAGAAATGACATTGTAGGTAAATTGACGTCATCTATCTATTACGTCATACTGACACCGAACTGACATTGTAGGTAAATTGACATCACCTATCTAGTACATCATACTGACATTGTAGGTAAATTGACGTCACCTATCTAGTACGTCATACTGACATTGTAGGTAAATTGACGTCACCTATCTAGTACGTCATACTGACATTGTAGGTAAATTGACGTCACCTATCTAGTACGTCATACTGACATTGTAGGTAAATTGACGTCACCTATCTAGTACGTCATACTGACATTGTAGGTAAATTGACGTCACCTATCTAGTACGTCATACTGACATTGTAGGTAAATTGACGTCACCTATCTAGTACGTCATACTGACATTGTAGGTAAATTGACGTCACCTATCTAGAACGTCATACTGACATTATAGGTAAATTGACGTCATCTGTCTAGTACGTCATACTGACATTGTAGGTAAATTGACATCAACGATCTAGTACGTCATACTGACATTGTGGGTAAATTGACATCACCGATCTAGTACATCATACTGACATTATAGGTAAATTGACATCACCTATCTAGTACATCATACTGACATTGTGGGTAAATAGACGTCACCTATCTAGTACGTCATACTGACATTGTGGGTAAATTGACATCACCTATCTAGTACGTCATACTGATATTGTATGTAAATAGACGTCACCTATCTAGTACGTCATACTGACATTGTGGGTAAATAGACGTCACCTATCTAGTACGTCATACTGACATTGTGGGTAAATAGACGTCACCTATCTAGTACATCATACTGACATTGTGGGTAAATAGACGTCACCTATCTAGTACATCATACTGACATTGTAGGTAAATTGACATCATCTGTCTAGTACGTCATACTGACATTGTAGGTAAATTGACATCAACGATCTAGTACGTCATACTGACATTGTGGGTAAATTGACATCACCGATCTAGTACATCATACTGACATTATAGGTAAATTGACATCACCTATCTAGTACATCATACTGACATTGTATGTAAATTGACGTCACCTATCTAGTACGTCATACTGACATTGTAGGTAAATCGACGTCATCTGTCTAGTACGTCATACTGACATTGTAGGTAAATTGACGTCACCTATCTAGTACGTCATACTGACATTGTAGGTAAATTTACGTCATCTGTCTAGTACGTTATACTGACATTGTATGTAAATTGACGTCACCTATCTAGTACGTCATACTGACATTGTAGGTAAATTGACGTCATCTGTCTAGTACGTCATACTGACATTGTAGGTAAATTGACACCATCTGTCTAGAACGTCATACTGACATTGTAGGTAAATTGACATCATCTGTCTAGTACGTCATACTGACATTGTAGGTAAATTGACATCATCTGTCTAGTACGTCATACTGACATTGTAGGTAAATTGACATCATCTGTCTAGTACATCATACTGACATTGTAGGTAAATTGACGTCATCTGTGTAGTACGTCATACTGACGCTGGGTATATCATCCTTTTTAGGATGTATCATCTTAAGCCAAAGCTAAATCAGCTGAGTATATACCGAAACCCGGATAGAGTATTTTATTAAAATAAATAGTGAAATAAGTGCAAAGCTCGTCAGTTGATATTAAGATTTTTTTCAATAAAGTAAGTACTGATATTTGCTGGCTATTGAACAGCTCTACTAAAACATTACAATAATTCTGCTGAAATCACACAATATTCACACGATTATTCTACTGTACGAAAATATAGTAAAATTAAGACATATATGCTATTTTCCCTTTACAACATTTCAGCAGTAAATTGTTTTTTTGTTTGCGATAGAAATATTTCATTCGACACTTAAAACGAAAATTTCTATGTTTCCTGTTCCGACTGAAACATTAAATGTCATATTCGTTCCCTCCATCAATAATCTTACATATTATTTTCTATATATGATATGTATAGGCGAAATAATTACGTCATAATCACCATTAAATACATCACTCGTATTCACTTTTAAACGCGTGACATGTATTCACTTTCAATCATACTTAGATATACGTAACTTGTATTTCCAATTAAACAGTATTTGTATAAACTTATATTTAATATTTAGCTTGTACTTGTTATAAGACACAAACATGTCACGTATGTTCATCTATGAAAATGTTATTTGTAATCACACTTTAATCTGCTACCTGTATTCCACATCGACACGTGATTTGTGTTACACATATTTATGTAACTTATGTTTAAGCTGAAACACATTCTTTGCATTTAGCTGGTTTAAGGGTGTATTTTCTGAGAGATGCGATAGTGACCTCTGCGTTAATAATATATCCTTAAGATGAAATAAAAATCCTACCTTGGGACTATGATAAAATTATAGATCCCAATCCTGTTTAAGAAAACAAATGAACGATTAACAATTTTTTTTATATATATATAAATGGGTTTTATTTGTCTATTCCTTTGAGGTATTCCACTGTTAAAACACATGTTAAATAATCGCTAGCTTTTCACATTTTATTCCACAATTAAAAAAGAAACATATTTCTATTTAGATATTTTTATTATTATTGGCCAAATAAATTTGTTATTATACGACGGCATTTTACGAATTCTCTGTCAAATATGTCTATGGATGTTTTGCATACATACCATGTCAGAGGTTACCTTCAGAGATCATTCTGG